ATCCAGGGCTTATTCTACAGTGCCACATCATGACCAATGGAGTCCAGTGTTGTTGTTGTGGTTCAGTGTAGTCAAGTCGGTTCCAACTCAGCAACCCTGTATAGGGTTTCTGAGGAGCAGCTGGTGAGTTTGAACCACCAACCTTGTAGTTCAAACCAACCTTGTGGTCCAGCGTATTGTCACATGGCGCCATACCAGGACTCTAATGGAGTCCAACAACTACCTTATTTTCAAACTAGTACTGAGAATAAATGCTGTTTACAATATCTACAAGAAGTATAACATGATATGTAAATACCTTATACTGCTGAGATTGCCACAGGCTTATGGAAATAAATAGGTAATTTTCTTCTCTCACTTAAGAGACCCAGTGCTCAGATTCAATCCAGTGATCCCCTAAGGAGTCATAGGCCCTGGGAAGTAACCTTCAGTCCCTTGCGTCTCAGTCCTCCTGAACACCAGGACAGTTTTCTCAGGTTACCCTGACTCCCAGAATTAGGGCATGTCAACCATGACTGAAGACCCCAGAGGGAAATGTCAAATGGGAGCAAACAAGGCAGGCCCAGTGACAGACTGTTGCTAGGACCATGAACCACTCTGTCTAAGAACATAGCACCTGCAGAGACACATCCACACAGCAGCCTGAAGAATGTAACCCAAATCACAGGAATAGTAACGCCTGAGGCCCACTTGCTTTCCTGGTTTCTGAGAGTACCCAGAAATGATCACGGGAGATGAGGAAGGATAAAGCGCTGGGAAAGTGCTGCCTGCCAGTAAAGTCCACTGTAACCGCTGGACAAGCCATCCTGACATCTTACAATCAGACAGTATGTTCACACGCTTCATCTAATTGGATTTTCACAATGACAACCACTCTGAGAAGCAGGCAAGGTGGATACTGATAGTCCTAAAGAAAAAAATAAAGTAAAGGGCAGCAAATACCCAAGGACAAAGTTTAGAAGGGACGGTTAAGAAAGGAAAAGGACCGGGAAGAAGGAAGACAGGGAGGCCGAGGGATAAGTAACGTTACCTAGAGGGGGCTGCAGTCATTGAGATGAAATGAAAAACAGGATTTTGTTAAACACAAGACTGATGAGCTGTTTGCCCTGTAATCCTTCACTCTACTCTGAATAAAAAGTTTAAAACAATAAAAATTCTGGTCTATTCTACTCTGGTCAATTCCGGCTCATGGCAGCTCCCCGTGTTGCGGAATGAAACTGTTCTGTAGGGTTTTCATACCAGTGACCTTTAGGAAGGTCTCTCTTCCCAGACACCTCTGGACAGATTCAAACGGACAACCTTTCTGTTAGCAGTCAAATGCTTAACCCCTGTGTTACCACTCCATCTTGATTAAATTAGCGGTTCTCTGGACATAGGTAGCCATCCATTTTAGATGCTATATATGTGATATTCACACTGACGAGCCAATGAGAAAATGTGCCTACAAACCTCACTGCAATATCAAAACATATACATTCTGTAAGTGACTATTAAAAGAGAAAACAACGGAAATGAGAACTACAGTCAGAAGATGGTGGTCTGAAAAGAAGCATCACACACCAAACCCCAAGAGAGCGTGGAACTCCTGCTCACAGCTCAGAAAGGGGTCACAACAGGAGCTCCTGGGTAGAGAAGGAGAAGATGTGGAACAAAACTCACAATCATTAAAAAAAAAAAAAAACAGGCTTAGTGGTGGAATAGAGACTGTAGAACCTCCTAGAATATGGTCCTTAGACACCTCAGGTCTAGAAGGGGACTCACCCCATGGTTCAACTCTCAGACAAACAACAGACAAACCCACTAGACGGGCACGTAACAACAACAACAGGAACTCCAGACAGGTACGCATTCCCTAGAACAATCAGCCATAGGCGATCAAAAGTGCAGCTTCTGCCCAGGGATAAAGCTCAGAAGGCAAGTTGTTCTTGTTGGTAAGTGCTTTCCACTCAGTTCCGACTCATAGCATCCGGTATAGAGTTTCTGAGGAATGGCTGGTGAGTTTAAACCACCGACCTTGTGGTTCAAACCAACTTTGCAGTCCAGTTCTTTATCCTACAGTGCCACATCACGACTCCAGAAGGCCAGTAGGGATAGGAAGAAGGATACAGGGAAACAGTCAACACCGGGAGGAAGTGGGAAGAAGAAGGCTGCTGCATTGTGGGAATTGCAATCCATGTTACAAAACCAAATGTGTATGAATGATTGGCTGGAAAACCTATTTGTTCTGTAACGTTCACTCAAGACACAATAATTTTTTTTTTTAAAAAAGGGCAACAAAAAAGCTCATGGAAACTTGTGGTCTCCTCACTTCTTACTGTCTCCGCTGCCTTAGATGGCAGTGTGGACCAACAAGAAGAGAGTAAGACAAATGTAGAAAGCATAGACAGGTGTTTTCAGGACACGATTACTCCACCTCTCACACTCAGTTCAAAAGTTTCCATACTCCCATTTTCCAAAGCAGACTTGACTTCCAGGTTTCTGTCCAATGTCTCCTTTAAATACTGTTATTCAATGTCCCCAAGAAATACTTGTACTCATTCTCATGGTCTGCCCCAACTTGCTTAGGAGAATGTCAGTCTAGAGAGCCCCACCCTCTCTGTGTACCCCTTTCCAGACCTCAGCCCCCATGGGTGGGTGGTTCAACATGGGGCTGTGTGGTCCTATATCCAAGCCCTGTTCGCCTCTGGCTGTATTGGAAGGCTATCAACCCTGGTCAGTCATAGAATATGATGTCTCTCTCCAGACAGATGGGTCTGGCCGGTTGTGCATCAAGACATACAGCTGACAGGACAGAGAGGGAAACAGACAGAAGGCCACTCTTCTCATTTGTCTAGGGTGCTACTTCAAGCCAACACATGCAGGCACAGTGGAGGCTCACACATTGCT